GCTACTTCACTGATTTTCACTTATCATGGGGGTTGTCTGGAACATAACCACCACAATGAGGGCCACTGTATAATAAAAACATTTTATTAAAAATATATACACATATAGTACTGCCAAAGGTTCAATAAAAAGATTCCCCAATTTCCTTTTTAGTAGATCTGGCTAAACAAGTTTTCTCTAAATAAACAGTAATTGGTATAGCTATTAAATAAATCTTCAGTAAGGCCTTTTATATATTTAAAAATCGATTAAGAGGTTGTCTTTAATGAATAGGCTATATACCTTCTTATTTCCAGTTACTGTCAACACCCTGAAAGGAGACTTAACTGATAGCACATTACAAATTATTTTTGATAATTGATAACTATATTTTTTTTACTTGACTATAAAGAAATGCAAAGAATGGAGTCATTGCTATAGTAAATATCCATTCATTTTAATCACCTTACATATGAGATGTGTTGCCATTTGTCTTTAAAAATAAGAATAGATTTTATGCTGACTAGTGTTTCATTCATTAAGACTTTTTAAAGAATAAATATTATGTTTGAAAGCTTCATCCCTTTTAAATGTATTTCTATTAAAATTTTTCCTTTGGATTAATAAGTTACCAAACTATAGCATATATATTTTATTTAGTTGTGTACCAATAGTCTAAATAAATCAACTACAAAGAACTTTTTAAATACTGAGATCTATGAAAAGAACCAAAGTAAATAACAATTTAATTTTCACCTCACTTCATAGATATAACTTATTTTCAGAAATATGCCAGAGAAATCAATGAAAAGACTGTATATAGAAGACAGTCTATTTCATGATAAAATTCTCTTTAGAAAAAAAAGAACTTAGAAGTACAAATTCAAAGATAAAAGAAAAAGATACATTGTTTCTATATATTAAAGAAGACGTTAGTGTATTTGGCTTTTCGTAACTTTTGCGAATGATTGAATATTTCATTTATATCATTGATATATTTTTAAAGTAATCATTTTACTTTGAAAATTTAATAAGTCTAATAGGTCCAAAGATTAAATGTGTTAGGTTTCTGTTTTTCCAAAAAAAATTTAGAGCAAATCTGAGCTAGCATGTTTGAAAACCAGTGGGCTGTAAGACTCTTCTTCACACCAGGCCCATGTCTTAATATCTGCTTTTACCTGAATAATGACAGTTCAGTATGAGCCAATCATTAAAAATTGGTAACAGTTGTTTCAGAGAGTAGTTACCAAAGGCAACAGTTGACATTAATTACTTTTAAATTTATCCCTTGATAAAATGTATCCTATTTCTTTGAGATTAAGGGTGATTAATACCCACAAATTAGAATACCTCGCCATAATTGTGTTTTCTGTGGGTGAAATGCTAATTGAAGTCTTCTGGTGTGTTCAGAAATGTCACTGAATAGATTTAATATGGCTTAGAACTGCCTGCTTTTTTACCTCTGCTCTTCTATTGTGATCAGAATAGCTGTGTATAAAATACCCTCTTGAGAGTCAGCTACTACCTTTTAACTTACATAAATATGAAATGGAAGAGCATAGGCAGAAATATAAAACTTCAAATATCATGAAGAACTTGAATATTGATTTTAAATGTTCAAGAAAGTAAAATAACAATATCCTTAAGATACAACTTCAAATATTGAAAGAGACTAGGAAGAAAAACAAAATAAGTGAAGCAGTGTGGGTAGATTGGATTTTCTTGCTTATAAGCATTCTGTATTCTGTGATAAGTGAGAGTTGATTCTATTTATCAAAAATTAGTGACTTCAACTAAAATAGAGAATAAGATATAACAGTTACTTGCTTAGCATTTTGAGAAAGTTAGGATCTTCTTAAGCATTATAGATATAAATACCTTTGGGCTAGAGTTTCTGGAGTTGCACAGAAGCAAAGAGAAAATTCTTGTAACTAATGCCAACCAAAGTGTTATTCAAACAGAAAAGTTTAATAGGAAAATAGTCAAAAAGAGAAGTTTGATAGGTAGGAAACATCTTTAGGTCTGAGGCGTTCTCACCTGACAGGGAACCGGAGGAGGATAATATGTTTGTTCCTCCTTCCTTTCTGTAGTCTACCAGTTTTACACTGTGTTCTGATTTGGGTAATTGTACTGTGGTCATATTAAGTGTTCAATGTTAATACTAGGTGAACCTGAATGAGGAATACATAGAAACTTGGAACTATTGGTTTCTTTTTAATAATTTGAAGTTTAGATAGCAAAATTACCCATTATATTTCTTATATCATCTCTGCTGTGCAAGTTAAGAAATTGTGCAATACGTACTTAAAGCATTAATAATGTGAAACCATTGGCTCTAATTAGTTATAATACTTCTCCAGCCCTGTAAAAGAGGACTCTACCTCATTAAGCTTTTGCTGCCACTTGCTCCCTACTGCCAGCCCCTGGCAACCACTAATCTATCTTCTTTGTCTTATATTTTCTATGCACTTACTTGTTATGAATATTTTATACAAATGGAATTATAAAGCTTGTAACATTTTGTATGTGCCTTTTCATCCTGTTAATTTTTAAGGTTTATTTCTACTGTACCATGTATCGATATTTTCTGCCTTTTTATGACTGAAAAATACCTCATTATATTGATATATGTATAGGCTTCCCTCCATGTCTTTGTACTTTGAAATAATATGATTTCTTATTATCTTAAGAAAAAAATTTTTTTTTCATTTTAGAAATTTGTCATGGCATCCTGCATTGGCTACTAAAAGTAAAATGCAAATTCCACATTCTCATGCATTTATTGATCTGACTGAAGATTTTACAGCAGGTAAGTTGCACAAAAATGTGAAATACTTGTTATTAACTGCTTATGAATTGTGGAATTTTATTAATTCTTTAGTTAGTATTCACTTAATGATGAACATGTTAAGCCCAAATTGCTAAAAAGTTGTGAGTTGTATCAGTAGTATGGAAAATTAGTATGTAGTCTTTCTTTTGCTTTTAACAATAAACTTTTGTTATTTTTATCGTCTGCACTTCAGAATTTGAACTTTCTACTTTTTTTTTGTTGTTGTTCTTTAATTTTGAAAGAAATTTTCCAGTTTTTCCCCATGAGAATGAGTTATCACTATGAACATACTTTTCACTTCTGTATCACATTTTCTGGTACCTTTCATAATGCTTGTTTCTTAAATTACATTGAATACTTTTTATGCATCTCTTAAGGTGGCATTCTAATTTATTCACTTAAATCTGTCAGTATGATGAATGACATTAAAAAATTTACTAATATTTAACCGTACTTTCCATTACAAACCATATTTCTATGATAAATCCAACTCATTTGTAATCTTTTTATATACTCACAGTTTTGATTTGCTATTTTATTTTTTTTTTCTTTTTCAAATCGGTAGAACAGTTTCAATAATTAACACACTACATACATTCTTCTAAGTGGTTAATTGCTGTACAACATGCGGACTTGATATCCTATTTACAAACACCATTAGAAAAAATCATTCTATTCATTAACAGAATGTAACTATATATCTATCCTAACCACTGAATACAAAGATACAAAATGGACATTCATCTGTGTACCCTTTTTTTTGTTAAGTTCCATTATTGAATATTATAGGTGTGTAAACTCAGCAAAATATTCTATAAGAGTCCAGTATCTCATAATAGTATTGGGTCTTCTGCTTAACTGGCAATGTCAGAAATTGTTGACCTGAGTCCCCCAGAGCTCAACATAACAGCATGGCTTTATTTCTTATATTTCGTTTTATACTTTTCTTCTGGATGGTTAAGACCAAGGTAAGACAGGACCTATGCAACAAGAGATGTAGCTTTTGAATCTGATAAAGTCACTGAAATCCCCTCAGGATTTATCCTGAGATCCTGTACCTCAGATTGTAGAACCTTTGTCAGTGTCAGGCATGTGGATGAGTCACGGCCAATGCTTGGCCAATGTGCTCTCTGTGAAAGCCT